ATTTTTCCATTGTTACATCTCATTACCACCTATCGTATATTTTTTTTTCCTAATTCCACACCAAAAATCTTCCAAAACAGAACAAAGATATACCATAAACCTTTGCAAGTTGTCATCTAGGACGCACATACAATCAAGTACCACAGCATTAGAGAAGGCACCTAACTGAATACTCCTTTTTTTCCACACTGGAAACTAATTCTTAAATTGGAAAATAATTCTTAAAGTTATAATCAAAGAAGACCTGTTGACAATCCTTTTGACCAAGTATGTAACATTAAGTCTTTGTGAACCCCAAATATAACGAAAAAGACTCTAAGAGTACAGTGTAAGAGAAAACAAAATATGAAGGCATGAATTACTCAGCTTTAACGCATGATGGTAACTAAATGCCTAAATGCTGAGGCACCTAAGCATCTACCCAGGAAGACAAGAGACTCATGGTCTGACAGTCATTCAGCAAGACAACAATCATTCAGCAAAGTCTCCAGGGAACAAGGAGACTCCCAGTATGGAGAATACTTGCACTCCCTCCCAGTTTAACATAGTATTTATTAATTACGAAGTGTAAGGATTAACTCACAGCCATTGGGCAATAAGAAGAATGGACATGTCAGGGGTGGGTGTCAGCAGACCACTAGAAGATGGCAACACCAAGTGAAAGAAAAAGAAAAGAAAAAGTACAAATAAGAGTCCAAGAAAAAATTCATCACTGAATTTTGCCTGGCTATCTAGAATTATCCCCCACCAGCTGTCAGTGTATGGTGGATACTGATACCTCCTAGTGCGAAAAAACACTAGCAAGTGACAAGAAAGCTCTATGAAGTTGTCCTCTCAATTTCCTTTTTCCCAAAGCAGAGCCTCCACCTATCTCTGCCTCTTAATATCCAGTACAGAGGCCACAGTTCAACTTATCAACCTTAAAATTTTTTCCCTATTTCATCATCCACTTTATCTTACAGCAGTTTACAGAGAAAACAGATTTCACAATAAGATAATAAAACAATCACAACAAGTCAAAGACTTGACCTTGGGCTTTGCATGATGAAACCTGTAACAACTTTCAGAAAAAAAAGATCTTAAGTTATAAAAATTACTGTCCAAATAAATACAGAAAACTTTTTTGCAGACAACATTTTTAAATAATATTATTCACTTACACAGGAAGATGTGTTTTCTAGAGTTTTATAATATCCAGAGTTTATAATATCTTGATCCATATCTGTTGTCTTGTTTACTATGGGTAAATTTTACAGGCAAAAAAAAAAAAACTTGAGTCTTCTTTCCCTCACTCCCCTCCAAAGACCTTAATTTGGCCCAAAAATGAGGGCTTTAAAGTTTCTAACTATACCAAATACAGTAATTTTATGTATTAAATCAAGTGACACATAATATGTTTATATTTTTAAGGTAGAAAAAAAGATAAATACAGAAAGACCATAAAAAGTTTGCATACGTTACAACTTTTTAAAATAACCATACAAACAAATCTGAATACTCTTCCTCAAAATATTATTTTATGGTTTCTAAATTTGTTTCACCTAATTTTAAATATCTCAGTTTGCAAGATTTTTAAAATACTGCATACTACCTCAACCCATGTTCTCAAGCTGTTAACGTTTTAAACCTTTATTTCAAGGGCCTCATGCTAATTATTTGTCAAGTTTCTTACTTAGAAAATAAAACTTCAATATTTAAAAAATCAGGCATATATATATTTTGGCACAACTTAAAGACCTCACCTATTATAAAAAGACGGGAAAACTGAGACACTAAGAGAATTTCTAAATCAGGCAGGAGAATCCTAACTTCAAAAGGAAAAAAAAATTTTTAAGTGTAAAAAAAGTGACTGCTCATAAATGGGAGTAATAATGAGAGAATGGATATAAAGTACTTGGCACAATAAATAGTTCCCTTTCCTCCAGCACTGCTGGCTGACATCAGAGCCTATGATATTCTTTCCTTTACCAGCTCACTGGTGAGAGCATTCTGACAATTTAATCTTAAATTTTCTTGCATTATGCCAAAAGGCCTTTAAAAAAAAACCGCTATGGAAATAGGCCCACCAAAAAGGAATATCAGCCCAGTGGATGGCAGAATGTGGGGCAGTAGGATTACTTTATATTGACTCAGTCTGTCTCAATAGAGATAAGTTCCCCACAATTACTCCTTAGAATATACATGTAATAAAAACAAAACTGAGAAAAAAAGACTTGAGCATTACTGCTCTTGAGGGGAAAAAAAGGACTCTTGCAATTATAAGAGAAAAGTAAACATCTATATTCATCTCCTTATTATCAAGTTTATCTTCTCTAAAATTCAAGAAAACTTATGGCAAAAGAATTCTTTGACCTTGGAACGTGCTACTTTGTTGCAAGAGTTTGGCTGGTTTGGTTTAGTTTTTAAGTCTACACTATTCCTAGGGAGGCAGAAATACACAGCACAGGCACTGAAATCACTAAGACCTGCTTCAAAACCAGGTTCTACCTGGTAACTAAGCTTCAGTTTTTCATCTCTCAAAAACAAGTATTACCTCCCTCGGGGGATTGTTCTGAGGATAAAATACAGGAAACATATAGCCCAGTGCCTAGAACATAAGGGCTCAGTAAATGCTTCTATTATTGTCACTGATTCTCAATCTCTTCTGCACTCCCCCAACAGATCGGATACCCTCTCACTTCTCCAGTCAATAATAGTAGCTGATGAGGGCAGTGATTCTCCACCCAGAGATATGCCCCTCTGCTTTTCAAATACACTACTCACCACCACTGCTTGACCTAGTGGCCTCTCCCTGCTGCCAGTGTTTCTCAGCATGACAGCTGAGCACTAAGATCACTGCTTTACCTGTGTGCAAATCCGAAGAACTTGTGGTCTTCCCAAATTCACTCAACACAAAAATCTCAGACACCTCTTGGGAAAGGGGCATGAAAAACACAATAGTCTCTGCCCTAGAATAGCTCAGTCCAGGAGGTAAGATCAACACCAAAATCAGAAAATTACTATACACTATAATGACTGCAGGAGAGATAACTTGTGGCTGGTCCGCATCTGCAACATAGCAACTACCTTGAGTTCCCTAATGCTGCTCATTATATCACGTGTCAGGCCCAACAGAACTGTGCTGTGAAGAGTGCCAATTCCAAGTTTAGACTGGTTTAGGACCCCTGGGTATGGAACAGGTTCTGCCATTTAACATTAACTCTGGTTTGCCAACTGATCTAGATATATCTGTTCGATAAGTCATATGTGATTCCTTATGATAGGGCTCAGCATTAAGACAGAGCCCAGAGGGAGCCTTCAATAAACACTTGATTTGCACATCACAGCTAGAGTTTAGATCTCAGAGCTCTGCCAAGGGCTGACCCAGAGTTTGATCTGCCCACCCAGCAAAGGACAGGCCAAGCACCTTCATTCTCCTTTCAGCTTTCACTCATCAGCCTATCATTAGGAAAGCCAACACAAGATTTTACAAATCTATAATATAGATTTTAAAAACCAATGTTTAGGTTTTTAAACAATATTTAGCCAAATAAGGCAAAGATTACAGGCCTTCCACTTCTGCCCCCCACACAGACACCATCCAAACCAAACAACTCCTACCTTGCTCTCTCTCTACATATACAGCTACCTACATCTCAAACTCAACATGTACACTACCAAATTAATTACCTCAGCCCCAAACCAAAGTCCCCTCTGTATTTTCCTCTATTAATTCATTTTCCCAGGGACCCAAGATTTCTAATTTAACCACTAAATTCTGTGCATTTCTCAGTCTCATATCTTCTTTTCCACTGCTCACATCAGGGCTGTTAGAGTAGTCATCCAATTAATCTCAGCCCTTACCCACTCCAATCTCTTATTGCCAACTCAATCTCCCCAAAACACCAATGGATAAAAGCCATTCCATACATAGACACTCAAAAACCCTGCTTCCTACTGAATTAAATCCTTGGCTGGCATTCAATGCCCTTATCTTGGTGTCAATGTCCTTCTTCTCCAATTTCATTTTAAGGCCAAAGGATAGGGACTTGAATTTCTTCTGAAGCTCTATTATATGCGAAATCCTAGGGACTGGAATAGTGAAATAAATAAAATTTGATCCCCACCTCCAAGACTCCAAGCAAATAAGGAACAAATACAGTGTTATAAGATACATAAAGTACATAATAAAGATACCAAGTGCCCTAAGTGCACAAGAAGCCCCTTATACCTCATCCGTCTTAGCGCCCCTCACCTACACATAGTAGGTGCTTATGAAGCAGCACTGATACTGATGATTGTTCCAGTAAACCAAAGACCTATAATCAACGTGCTCAAAAAATTTCTGCTGAATAAGAGGATAAATTCCACCTCTTCATTTCTACTATGGTAAAGAACTATGGTACATGGGCTGCCTTTTTTGGAAGGGTCAGGGAAAGCACAACTGAGAACTCAGATTGGCAAGTGTGCTTGTGCCTGATGTGTTTCTGAAGCAGAACAGAAGCACCAAAGGCCCTAGTGAAAGACATCAGTTCTTTCTGCTAGTCAGTACTCAGATACTGGCAATAGAAAACGAACCTTTGCAAATTCGGCCCATACCTAATTTCAAAGAATAGCCTGACTAAAACATTCTAATCCTTTCATCACTATCAGGAAGTTAGGAAACACAGATCAGGCTACACTCTCTTCTCAGTAAAATATGCTGGGATTCCAGCTATGGTTTTGGATTAGTAAAAGTAAGCACATTAAAATTAACCAAATGAGGGCCGGCCCCATGGCTTAGCAGTTAAGTGCGCGCGCTCTGCTGCTGGCAGCCCGGGTTCGGATCCCGGGCGCGCACCGACACACCGCTTCTCCAGCCATGCTGAGGCTGCACCCCACATACAGCGACTAGAAGGATGTGCAACTATGACATACTACTATCTACTGGGGCTTTGGGGGAAAAAATCAATAAATAAAATTTAAAAAAAAAATTATAAAATTAACCAAATGAAACAAGTACTTAGAACAAGAGGAGGAAGATGGTTAAAACCAAAAAGCCACAATCACTCCTCTCTGACACAAAACATTAGATGTATCAGTTCCATTTCAAATAAATTTCACTTGAGCAGCTAATTTGTTTATCAACTTCCTACTACTTTCAAGTATAACATCTTAAAAACCAAAAAGTCACCCACACCCAACAGGAAAAGCTCTAAAATATGTATTCTGCCTATAAACAGCCCAAACAGTTCTTAAAAGAATATACATCAAGGGGAAAAAAGTATTCTTTGCTAAAAAAAGTATACCCAAAAATGCAATGTGCACATTAATGCAATGTGTCTTTTTATAAATGAATTGATCATTTACTATTTAGTATCAAAATGATAAGTGACCCAGTAACAGTATTACAACAATCATCTTTAAAACAAGTGACTGTTTAGTTTAGACCAAACGAAATAAGCAATTTAGGCTTTTAAAGACATTCACTGAAAGCAAATATCCAAAGTGGACAGCGATTATAAAAGCATTTCAAAGCTGAAATAGTGAACTTTTTTTACCTGATGTTCTGCATGAATGTTATCCCCAGTAGGCCATCGATGTTTGCTATTATTATAGCCGCCTCCACCACTTCCTCCTCCCCCAAGCTGCTCACCATGCTGCCTCTGAAAGAAGTAGTCCACCATAGCGTCGTCCTGGGATCGGCCTGCAACTCCTATAGATCCTGGGACAGGGCTGGAGTGTGTCCCAGCTGCAAGAGCCTGACTTGCAGCTGGTTGCGGCTGCGCTTGCGACCCTGTTCCAGATGTCAAAACAACAGGCATGTTGGGATTAGCTGGTTCTTGAGGGTGATGTTTCAGGTGGGGGCTGAAAGAGTCCTGCCAAAGCACTGCTTTTCTCTTCAAGACACATGCAACGCTCATTCCACCAACACCTACGGACAAACAGATTACAAAGGTTTAAAATTTGCACTTTTTAGAACATAACTTGATATACACCAAGATAAAAATACGAGCCCCAGGCCTTTTGCAACACATCATCTATAACCAGTTTCTACCAAGCAGCTAAACGCTTTATAACATAAACACAATTTTCTAAACTGAAACCTCCATTTTTACGTTACTGAGTTTGTGGGTATATGGACATAAACGTAGTTGGTGACAGGCACTCTGACAACGTATTGAGATCAGGACTCAACACAGCAACTTCAGGGAAACTTACGTTGTTACCAAAGTTAACAATACAGAATTTGACTGCAGTCAATGGCTCCTCTACCCAACTCATTTCCACCTTAAGCCAACTGTGGCAAATACTTTTTAAATGAACAAGAGCTTTATAAAATATCACTTTACAGCTGGAGCAGACACACACCAATAAACCAAACAAAAATCCAAACCCCATATATAATTAGCAATGACTCAGATTGTCTAAAACTTGAAAGGACCCTTTAAAATGTCCAATATATTCATATCTGCTCCTTGAAGAAACAACAAGGCCCCCCAACCAAGAAAAGCAACAGAATGTTCTTAGCCTGAACCTTCTCCTTAGTTGCTGACGGGAAAATTTCAAAATTTTTACCAATAATTTACAATTACTATAATTGTAAACACATCATTATTCCATGAGTACTTTGACTCCTAGAAACAGGATGAAATCAAACCAAATTCAAACACATTACTAAAGTAAAAAGTCTCACTGTAAAAAAACATGCCTCAACACAAAAACAATTGTGGACAAATACACTGGAGACATCTAATCATCCATATTTTACAGATGAAAGCACTAAGGTACAGAAAAGTTATGGGATGTGCCCGAGGCCATTCAGCTAGTGAGTTGCAGAAAAGAGATTCAAACCTAAATCTGTTCTGCACCCAAGCCTAGTTCTATCAACCCCTTGCTACTCCCCAGTAAATCAACACAGGTACTATTTCTCTCACTTGCATCTGCTACTCTTCTCTGAAAGGATCAACAAAGAACCTCCAAAATGTTACTATGAAACCTTACTATTTATGTTTCTTAAAATCAAGAACTCCATTTGTACATAAGATAGACCACATGTCAGCCTGTGGATGCTAAAAAAAAAAAAAAAATTGCTACAAAGTAATTAATCAGTTACCAATTCAAACACACCTGTCCATAGACAGTAGAGTCTAATTTCAAGGCTATCAACATAACAGTCCACTGCTACAAATGCTTTCTCTCTCCTTAGCCCTAGCAACATTTCAAAAACAAGACTCACAAGATTTATAAGTAATCTATTAAATTATTTCTCTTCATAGAATTATTAAACCTCCTGATAAAGAAGCATTTGCTTCTCACAACTAATTTATGTTTTGAAGCCAGAGTAAGACACAATGGAATTTGTAATTTGTTCAAAGTCTAATTTGGAAATGCCTAGTCTCAATTAACAATTCCAGTCCATCAGCACCTTACAAAGGGTACTGGAGTAGTCTAGCTTTCTAGACTTCAGTTTCTGCTTTCATGAATAGAATCCTGTTCATGCTTAAGTATCAAACCCAGAAATTCATAGCTGCGTTTACCATAGGTCTTTGCAAAGTGCTAACCAGCTAATGAATGCCTTTCCGTTTGATTTTCAAAAGAACTCATTGCCCTCTTATTACCAACAGCAGCCAGTCCCATTTTTCTTCTACAAGGGAATATCGATCTAACAGTCTTTGTTCTAGAGCAAGCCATAAATCCCAAAACCCAAGTTTTAACACTAAACTAGCAACCTCTCTGAGCCTGTTTCCTCATCTAGAAAATGGAAGAAAGTCTTCTTCTATGCCTCACAAGTTTTTTTTTTAATCAAAATGAAATAATAGATGTAAAAGTTTTGGATACATTTAAAGTTATTATGCTGAGACCCCAGGAAGTCAGTTACCACCAGTTAAGGCAATGGAGCTCCAGTCCATAAAGGATTCCTAAAATAGCAAATGCGATCTTTCCTGAAATAAAAGATTTGCCATAATACTTATCCAACAAAGACTTTCCATATGAAAAAGGTGTTTACCACTAAAACACACTGAATACAACTTCTAACAAGGGATGGGGGGCGGGGGAGGATTCCTATAAAAATGTTCAAACAAAACAATTGGCTTTTGTAAAGCTATGTGTATGCCCTGAGACTTCCTGCTTTACCTAATGAGGCAAGGCAGTTTCTCAAACAAGAGAAAACCTGGCAGAACAGTTTGAAAGTGAGCAAATACCTAAGCAATTAACATGTGTCTTGGGTAGTTTTGTAATATCTTGGCAACTACAGCACAAAAATTAAGAAATCGGTCACTTAAATATTAGAAAACATTTAAATTGCTGACTTTTAGGGAACTCTCAAGGCCCCACTAAAAAGTTACGCGTAGCATTTGAAATGTGACTTTTTTTTTTTTTACAAATAGTACATTATAAAAATCAGCATTTTAAGCAACTGGAAATAAGTGCTGATTCTAGTTACTCTTCCAGTTCTCAAACTGTACATTAAGGTGTTTTTTTAATACCACTAATAAAGATTTTATTTCAAACAAAGGAACACGGTTTAATCTATCTCGACGGCTCACCTTTTTTTTTTTTACTAAAATGTTTAGTGGTTTAAAAGGTGTTTATTCTACCACACCGAAAAAAACATTCTGTGGTCATAAATTTTAAAGCAGTTCATCTCAAACCCAAACTAAACTTCAAACCCGACTTCAAAAAGCTGTGGCCTTGGACAAAATGAATTCAACTGAGGCTAAGGCAAAACTAACTCAGAGTTCAGAATCCAGTATTTCTCAAAGATCCGGATAAACAATCAACAGCCCCCAAGAGTGTTTTATACAGTTAAAATTAGCAATGGGTCAAAATGTTTATTTTGCTTACTAAAACTGCATGGGGAGCCACACTTCTCGGAGGAGGCTTGTCTTGGTGAGTTTTTATGTGTTTTCATACAACGAACGAAAAGCTAAAGCCACAAACCTATTGTTTCAGAAGTAACTGACTTTAAAACAGAACCCCAAAAAGCCTCAGAAACTCTTCTTAATCCCAGAAAAAGTAGGAAGTGAACGAATTGAAATCTACAACTCAGAAGTGTTTTCTTAATTGAACAATAAAGAGTAACAATCCTTCAAGTTATGGGGAGGATAAAATCTTCCCTGATAGTGTTGTGTATGTGGGGTATTTTTGGGGGGGGAGGTTAACTGGGGGGAAAAAGTTACAGGAGCGTATTCGTCCCTTGACGTGGGAGTGGTACTGACAAGTATAACAAATTATCAATGTTTACCAAGAACGTTTCGAGGACTAAAACTACCTAGTATCGTGTGTTTTCCTGCTACCGGGAGGTGAACCCCTCTCTGAGTTCAGACAGACATGCACCAACACATGGAGGCTCAAAGAGGAAGAACCCACCAAAAACACAAGCTCTCACGGAAACAAAAGGCCATAAGCACCCAGGAGCCTAAAAAGCGATCTGAAACTTCCTGATCGCCACTTCTCCACATTTCAGGCTCGCAAAGTTCCCCCACGGTGGGTCTCGCCTGTAGACAAGGGCCACGGCTGCTTCTAAAGCGATTTATTGTTCCTCCTGCTTCGGCGCTGCCACCGAAGCTAAAGAAGTCGAAGAAACCCAGGGTGGCAAAGCATTCCACTCCATGGCCACACACAAGACTCGGAGCTTCGGAAACCCATCAAAAAAGCAACCCGAATGGCAACATCGATCTTCGGGGGCTCCAACGGGGCCGAGCAGAAACGTAGAGGCACGTCTGTGCCCCGGGCCCAGGCCCGAAGCCCCGGCATTTTCCTCGCTTCGACCCCGCTCCCCACCCCCTCCCTCCTTTGATAACAATAGGGGCCTTACTGCTGACTCCAAAACATGTACGAGGAACAGCGAGTGAGAAGCCTCCGCCAGGGCCCCGGCGGCTTTTCCAAAGCCCTTCTCACCCCCCAACCGCTCTCAAACACCAATACAAAGGGACAATCTGCTCGCTGGGGGTCCGGAGCAGCGTTTGGGGCCGGCGGGGTGCGGATACTCACGGGCGGAGCGGTAGGATGAAGATGGATTTCAGCCCCCCGATCTTCTCTCTCCGGCGCTCTCGCTCCCCCTTACCTTTCACTCTGACAACATGGCGGCCCACTGGGGACTGGGCTGGCGCGGTGCATCATGGGATAGGCTCTGGCCCCGGCTCCGGCAGTGGCAGCGGCATGTGCGGAGAAGGCAGGCGGCTCTGGAACAGGTTGCCTGGTTGCCATGCCAACCCGGGGCCTGTGTGAACTTGGGGAACTCGCAGGCCACACTACCGCTGCGCGCGCGAGTGCCCGCCCGCTAGGCCAGCGCGCGCCGCCGCGGGCAGAAGGCGGGGTCCCGCGGGCCCGCTCGGGAGCGCCCGGCCGCGCACGGCGCGGAGCTGGGCACGCGGGGTCGGGGCGGTGACGCGCCACCGAGTCGATCCGGGACCTGAGGTGCCGCACTTCCCCTCCGCGCGCCCTCCCGATTTCAGCCCCAGACTGTAGCAGCCTGCAGTGTTCACGAACGCTCGCTGGCTCGCAGGGCTCCGGCGTGACAGGTGCTGGGCTCAGCCCCTTTGCTACAGCTTTCTGGCTCCGTGGTCCTGCCTCCATTTCCCCATTTGTGAAGTGAAGAGGAAAACGAGAACGGCTACTTAACAGAATTGCCGTGAGGCTTCAGTGGAATAAAGTGCCTAGTCCATCGCCTGGGACTTGTAAGCAGGACCACTGCCTGATTTGCGGGGTCTGGCGCAAAAGGAGAGTGTGCGGCCCCTTGTCCAAAATTGTTATGAATTTCGAGACAGCGATAACAGAACATTAAACCAAAAACAAAAGGCCGAACGTGTCTGTAAGCACTGTCAGTGTTAGCTGTTGTCTTTCCGTCCAGTTTGGAAAACGAATAGAAATTTGGCCATTTGATGAAAGTGACTTTTCCAATCAGCAGTATTTGGTAAGATATAGTTATTTTGTTTCAAAGTAAACCCAAGATGGATTGAAAACTTAGGCAAATCACAATGCTGTAAAAGACTAGAAGAGGGCCAGCCTGGTGGCATAGCGGTTAAGTTCCTGCCTTCTGCTTAGGCGGCCGGCCCGGGGTTTGCAGGTTCGGATCCTGGGCGCAGAAATACTCCTGTAGCTACAACTCTACAACTATGATATACAACTATGTACTGGGGCTTTGGGTAGAAAAAAGAAAAAAAAAGAAGAAGATTGGCAACGGATGTTAGCACAGGGCCAAGCTTCCTCAAAAAAAAAAAAAGATCAGAAGAGGATGTAAGGGGGAAAAGCTTTATAATTGGAGGAGGGAAAATGTTTATAATGAATCTAAATCAATCATTTTTAAAAATTGAAAGAAATTTAAACATCTGTACAGTAAAATGAGGCTATCAACAAAGTAGAACAAATGAGAAAATAGCTAAAGAATATTGCAATATGCATGGCAGACAAATGGTTAATCTTTATGATAAACACAGAACTTCTCTAATCAATTAAAAACAAGCAAACCAATAGAGACAGACATAAAATCACTAATGGCCAATAAACACATAAAAGATAGCTAGTCTGGGGGTGAGGGGAAGAGGAGGGGAGAGTGAGGGAGGAACTGCTAATGGGTATGGGTTTCTTTTTGGGGGTGTTGAGAAGTTTTAAAATTAGATTGTAATGATGGTTGCACAAGTCTGAAAATATACTGAAAGCCACAGAACTGTACACTTTAAATGGGTGAAGTTTATGGTATATGAAATATATCTCAATAAAGTTGTAAAAATTAGGAAAAAATAACTAATAAAAGGGGCCGGCCCCGTGGCCAAGTGGTTCAAGTTCCCCGCTCCACTTTGGCAGCCTGGGTTCACCGGTTTGGATCTGGGGCACCGACGCACTCCACTCATCAGGCATGCCGTGGAGGCATCCGATGTACAGAATAGAGGAAGATTGGCACAAATGTTAGCTCAGGGCGAATCTTCCTCACCAAAAAAGAAAAAAATAGTAAAAAATAAAAAAATAGTAAAAAAGAGAGAAACTCTCTAAAAAGATAAAAAAAATAACTAATAAAAGAAATGCAACTTTGAAATATAATATTTTCATCTATTAAAAACACTGGCAAAAATTTAAATGATTGTTAACACCCTGTTTTGGCAAGATCTTTGAGAAAATCATCACTCGTATTGTTTAAATTGTCTGAGTATCTAGTACTTCCGTTTTTTAAAAAGCATATTAGGGGCCAGCCCGTGGCATAGCGGTTAAGTGTGCGTGCTCCGCTGCTGGCGGCCCGGGTTCGGATCCCGGGCGCGCACCGACGCACCGGTTATCAGGCCGTGCTGT